CAACCTCATATTTGAAAAAATATTCATCTAAATAAATAAAAGTATTCAAGTTATACAGATATATGTCATTAACTGCCAGCCTATTGTGATCCACATGTTAAATTTTTTAACATGCAATAAAGTAAGCTTGCTTTGGACATTGACCAAAAAATTTATAAGCTGCTAGTGAAAGTGTAACAGGAAATGTTTTTCACTGGTTTGCTATACACAATACTCTATAAAGTGAATATTTAGTTTTTTTCATTTTGTCTTGTGTTGCCAAGTTATAAGATCACCCAACTCTGATGAAGTAAAACTCTTCCCTCTCGCAAAGTATATAATCTTTATTTTGGCTTCTTCCTCTCTGATGACTAAATTGGAAATTCCTCAAAGCTGTAATTCAAAGCCATAGGTGACCTTAAAGAAATGATTTTTTATATGCTACCTTTTATTTTAAGGTAACTTTTCAAATGTGGACCGTGCATTCCATTATGTTTAGCTGTCAAGCACGGCCTTCATTTGCATTTCTTCCCACTGCTATAATTTTGAGAACTGGCAGGTGACCAAAGAAGAAAAAATGTGCATCTACCATCTAGAGTGCAATGTAGGCTTTTTTATTATAATTAAGTAGCATAGATATTCATGATTAGATGAAGGTCAGAGGAGCAGAACATCAGAGCCAAGGACTTGAAGGTACAAAGAATAGAAAAATTGCTTTCTAAAGTTTTTTTTTAAATAGTAATGGTGACAATCTTTAAGTTTTGCAATAAAACATTTTAAATAGCTCATCTGTTTTATTTTAAAATGTGCACGCCTGGTGTGCTTGCACATTTAAACTGGAGCTTGAAGTCTCAGTTACTTCCCATTTCTGCTCCTGGTGCAGAAAAGCAATTTGAGAATTATAATGACAATGGATTTTTTTAAAGGCTGAGTCTACATGACACCCAAAACTATTTGTACTGAGGCATGAGTTTTCTATTAAGTCTAATGGATTAATCCAAGGAGGCAGTGTGATGTGTAGATGGAGATGTTTTCAACTCCGAATTTTCAGTGATAATTCTGCGATTTGATAAGACAGGCAGATTACTATACAGTTTCTTTGCTTGCCCTCTCTATCTAGCTTATTGGCTCTCTTTCAGTCCAGCTGATCAATGTAGGTTTATTACTTCTCCAGCCCTCTGACTTACAATGCACATTGTTTACTCTTCCTCCACCTCCTTGGCTAAGTTTTCGCCTCCTAATTGATGCAGAGCCCTAGGATTCATTCCAGGGTCCCTGGCTCTTCTGTTCCCACCCTCTTTCCTTAAGTAACCTCTAGTTCCATAGTTTTTAATGCCAACTATATACCAAGCGCTCAGTTTCATATAGACCTCTCCTCTCACCTTGAAACTCATATATCTGACTTCCTATTCAACTTTTTTTTTAATCCTCACCCAAGGATATTTTTTCCATTGATTTTTAGAGAGAGTGGGAGGGAGAGGGAGAGGCAGAGAGAAACACTGATGTGAGAGAGACATATTGATTGGTTGACTCTGGTATGCCCGGACCAAGGCCAGGAGTCTGTAACCGAGGTATGTGCCCTTGATTGGAATCGAACCAGGGACCCTTCAGTCTGCAGGCCAATGCTCTATCCACTGAGCCAAACCAGCTAGGGCCCTATTTTGACTTGGTTATCTAAATCTCAAAGTTAACCTGACCAAAATTCAACTGTTGATTCTTCCAACTTCAAACTTACTCCTTTTTTATCTTTTCCATCTCAGTGTAAGTCACTAACACCCAGTTGTTCAGGATAGAAAAAGTAGCCGTCCTCAATTTTCTCATTTCTTCAACCTCTTTTCACATCATAAAATTCTATTGATTGTTCAAAAGCACATCCCATCCTGTTCACTTCTCTTCATTGCTACTACTATGTCCAAGTCACCATTACCTTTTTTCTATCTCCTAGCTTCCTCTCTGATCCCTAAAATCCATTATCCAACCAGAGTTTCAGAGTAAATTTTTAAAAAATATACATCATATGTTATCTTTACTCTGCATAAAACATCTTAATGGTCTCCCTTAACACTGAGGATAAAATCCGAGCTCTTTACCTTGATGTAACATCTGACCCCTGACCAACTCTTGGACCACATCTCCTCCCAATCTTTTTCTCACTAATTGAGCTACTGACTCATTGGTCTTAATTGTTCCTGAACTTCTCCCAGCTCATGACGTGCCTGGTATATGTTTCCTGCAAAGTTCTTCATTTACTTCCAGTCTATTCAATCCTCAGTTCAAATTTCAACTTTTAAAGTCTCCTCTACACCAAACCCCACAATGGGTCTCTATCTTATCTATTTTGTTTTTATCATTGGATTTGTCTAATATTTTCTCGCTTGCTTACTGTCATCCCCAGTAAAACTTAGGTCTTGCTTACTGCTATATTTTTAAGGCCTAGAAAAGTCCCTGGCACACAGTATGTACTTAATAAGTATATTAAATGAATAAATAAGTGCATTCACATTTGTTTGGCATCAATTATGAGCACTCACAGTGCGGCTCAAATTTTAGAGCTCATTCAAGCTTAATCATTTCTTGTTCTTAATCATTTTGTTTTTTATTGCTTCATATCACCACATCAGATATAATTTTCCTTGTTTAAATAAATTCATTTTTCAAAGTGTGTATTCAGTTGAAGACAGTGCTGCTCAAAGCCTCATCCATGGAGCAGTGCTGATCAATAAACTGTTTTTTTATTGCAACAAAATAAATACAGACACTGAGAGAAAACATGTAGAAGTATTTATGAGAAGTTGCATTTTATGTCTGCTGAATCTAATAATAAAAATATAAGGACTTATATTTGGTATGTCTTTGCTTCTTATTTTATTCTTTTGGTAGGTCATTTTTATTGTAGTTCACAGATGTATTGACCATGATAGTTCAGAATTTTTTTAAAACTGAGCTTTTAACACAGCTAGTTTAAAATGCACTAATCTAAGCCATCTCTCTTTAGAAATAATATGATAGCAGTATTTGATTGCTTAATAAAATTATAATAAATTTAATCAATTTATCATGCATAAGAGTGGATCAAAATTTACTTTGCAATAGATATATTTGTTTAAAACAAATATTTTATAAAGTCCTTAAATTTGAAATATAGGAAGAAAAATAGAGAAAAATATCTTTAGAAATAGTCTTTCATCCTGCAAATAGTTATCATTTAGTAATAAAGCCTGTTTGAAAGTACAGAGTAAGTTGAATCAATGCCAGTAATAACCCTACTATCTATCCACCCAGCACTGTTTTTGCAAGAATTGAGCAGAGAACAGGTTGAAAAGAAATAGAGACAAAATCATAAGGAAATGTCAGGAAGGTAAGCCTCCTAGCCCAGACCTGTTCAAATTCAGTCTCTAGTCTGTCTGTTCATCAAGACATTCTCAGTTCTCATCCTACTAAAACCTTAAGTAAACTAATTGAAATAGCTAGGAAAGTCTCATAAGAGAGCAATTCTTCCTGCAATAATAAAGAGATATCCCTATTACTTTTTTTCCTAAGAGATACAGACCTTGGCCACTTATAGGTGCTTCTGTCCCTTTGACCTTCTCAGTCCCCGGGCCTTTTATTTGTGTCTGGAAATAGTGACTAAAAAGAGGTAATAGTGACTACACATATGAGCCCATCTTGCGTCAGCAATTACCCAACATACTTCCACTTGACCTCTCAACACACTTCACAGAGGCCACCAAAGAACCACTGCTGTAATCATTCTTGGTCACTAATAATTTGTACTGGATTTGATTCAGTGACTAAGAGGTAAAAGGCTCTATATTCAATTACCAGGCCCCCAGCTTCTGCAATTAATCAAAGACTGACATAATAGATCTATTACAATTCTCAAAGAAAAGACCAGGTCAAATCAATATAATCATTCTAACCATAAAAAGCAATATTAATATTCTTCATTCAAATATAAAATTCAAAACTCTATGGTATTTAAATGAACTTGTTTAGAATGCATTTCATCTAGAATTTTATTCTAGGAAACTTCAACATAATCAAAATGACAACCAAACTCTACTTTGAGTTTTCATAGCAGTCTTCTTTGGAGAAACTCAGACGTTTCACATCTACTTTACCATTTACCCTGAAACTATGGTTTGGTATCTAATGTAATTTGTGAAAGGATTTATCTGGTCAAAGGGGTTCTGTAAAAAATTGTAACAATCATAATAATATAACTGAATTGTTAACTAAACAGTGGTCTTTTATCTGTCCTGTATTAGGAAATCCTAAAGGAGTCCAAGAAAAGGTGGAATCTGAATCATGAAAGAAGCAACAATGCTGTTGCAAATCATTAGCAGTAAGGGACTGCAAACATTTAAAGCATTAAAATGCTTCTGCTACTAAAGCAACAGACATAAACTCAGAGGAAACTTACTGAAAAAGTCAAAAACCCACTAATCCAATCTGAACTTTTAGTGACACTATCAACATGTATAAAGTCATCTGAAGAGTTCAAAGTTTAACCTTATGTCTGAAATTCAAGGATAAAGTCAAAGCACAGAACACATTTACCTTCATCTCCATGTCAAAATAAGAAACCACCTTCTACATGACAAGTGAAGATTATTTATATAACACTTTGTATTAAAAAATTGTACCAGTTCTTTGTGTTAAGACTGTAAAAGAAAGTTCAGGTTGTCTTATCCATTAATGAGTTAAAGTTAGAGACTTCTGAGAGATTCTAAAAATTTTACTTGGGTGTTTTTTTGTTCTTTCTTCCCCTTTTTAATATGTTCCCATTGATCTTACCTTTTTCATGTTTTACATCAGCTGTCAAGCACCACTTGGGCTGGTCACCAAAATGCCAGAACCCTTGTCAGAGCTGGTTTCTTTGAATTCAACCCCTTGGGTGCTAAAGCCCTCTCAATCACTTTACTGTCCTTCATCCATACAATTGTCATCTTTTTGATTGACATCTTGGGAACAGAAGAACAATTCCTTTACTAATACATACTGTCTCCAATTATTTGCAGGTTGCTCCCTCCTGACAACATTTGGGGTGTTTGTTAATGCACTGAAAACATGCTGTCTACGATATTGCCATCTTCGTGGAGATTTGACGAGCTGGTTAGACCATGCTAAGAAAAAAAATGGTGGCTGCTACAGTGAGCTGCAAGTGGAAGAGACAAAATGTTTCCTCACCCTTCTCCCTCTCATCATTTTTCAGCTTCTTTACAAAATGTGCATAATGCAGGTAAGGAAGGGTAATTAGTACTACCCACAAGAACAATAAAATAATTGCATATTAACAAATAAACACTTGTTTTCATCCCAGCAAACACCTCCCCCATACATTTTGTCAGGCAGTTAAACTGTAAATGCTTCTAATTATTATAGACTCTAATTTCATTTTCTAAGTGGGAGCAGGTAGAGGCGTACCTGAGGAGACTCTTGTTATGTTGTTTCTACCATAGAACTATAAACGTCTGTTGGTAGGTGCAGACAATACTTCAGAGTGCATAGTTATAAGGCAGTAGAGCAGCAAATAAAAATATGAGATCTATGAGCAATTACCCAACCTCCCTTTAGCCAAAGGTTTTGCCTTCCTCCCTCATTAAGCCTTTAAAAACTGCTACTAACAAGTAGCTAGCTTGACTGATTTGAGTACCACCCCCATTGTACGCTTAAGTGTAAGTACTAATGAGCAAGTGATTCTCTCCCTACCCACTCGCAGTTCCTTGGTGAATCAGCCAGTCCCTATGCTGTGGAGAAATCAGAGGAAAAACACTAAATCCAAAGTATCTTTTATAATGTATACGATTTAAACAAATTTTGATGTAGTAATGCTCAAAGGTTAACATACTTGTAAAGAAATATTATGATTTCTTAATATATTCTCATATATCAAATGATTACAAAAATCCTTGAAGAAATTTGGGACTGTCTTTGTTGCTAACTCCCAACTTGGAATTTAGATGGCTAATGAGTGAGTTGTATTGATATATCATAGATCCACAGAGCTGAAAAGAAACTTGAGATTAACTTACTCAACCACTTAATTTGTTGAAAAGGAAACTGAGGCTCAGAAAAATTAAGTGATTTTGGAGGGACATAGCCATTCTTGGAAAACAGCCATTTTTGTTTGTCATACTGTGTTCTACTTATAAAAACAGCAGAATTGAGTGATTGAAATCGAATCTGTATGTGGATATAATTTCTATCTGATCCTTTATAGACAAGTTTGGTGACCCTTACTTTAAACAGGCATGAAAGCTAGGCTAACTGAGTAGATTCAAACTTCCTCCTGACTCCACAATAGTAGTTGGCACAAAAACCCAATAATATTACCCATATATATGATAATTAATATCATAAAATAATTTAGAATGAAAAAATTAATGAGCACAAAATCACTAAGTGATTTATAGCTGGCCTTGACTTTTCTGTACAAGTAACACAAATTACTGATTCTTTATCTTCATAATGTAGTGACACCTGGTATTTCTTTTGACTGAGCCTTCTCTGAAAAATGTCATATATTTTTTAATTTGACACAAATTACAATAAATTCTGATAAACTAATTTGAAAGCATTTCACCAAATCTAGGGGTCCGTTTTATTGCAAAGAACCAAAATGAATACTTATCGACAACCTATATGTGTCATAGCTTCTTAAAGATGACTTCACAGTATCTACTTTAATCCCTACAGCAAGCCTACATAGCTCATACTGTCATCCTAAATCTGAGGCTCAAGAGACATTAAGTGACTTGCAACTTGCTCAAGGTCACCTTACTAGTATGTGGCATAGCGCTCATTCCAACACAGAGCTGATATCAACTCCCACACTCTGCTACTACCCACAATGCCTTTCTTGCAGCTGGGTTAAAAATAAAGACTATATAGGTTCCACATTATATGCAGTCATGTTTATCAGAAACTTCAAAGAAAATAATTAGAATGTACTCAAGAGATGCTAAGGAAACTTCCATTGGGATAGGCTAGAATTAGATTTTTGCTTCCAGAAGAAATAATCACCAGCATAAAAATCATCAAAGAACCAAGAATAAAACATCATAGAATTTCACATTTTAAATTTAGTTGCCATTATTAACCTTCAGTTCCAAGACATACATTAAAAATATGTTGATATGAAGGCTGATGATGTTGCCATTTGACATTCCTTGGCTATTCAAAGGTGAAAATAAATCTCTATTGATAGCAATTATTTCTGAATACTTGGAGGCTTGTCTGAAGTAAAAGTATTTAAAATTTTAAAAGGGGATGATTTCACAACTTGAGGCAGAAGCAAAATGATTTCAAGCTTTTAAGACACTGGAGCCTTTTCTTAGATTAGGCAATATATTAATATTGCTTCACTAAAGATTAATAGTACATTTGCCACATTATTAAGTTAACAGGTTTCTGTGTCTGTGATTCATGCTGATAATAACTTTATTCCTATTAACAATAATTCTCACTTGAAATCAGTAACAGAAACTTCCAGGTTGTGCTGGGAGCCTTTCAGTCTTATAGTGGTTCTGCTGCCAGCACTTTTTAAAAATATATATACATCATTCATTTCCCTCTGATTGGGCGATATGTGCCTAATAAGTTTATTGAACTAGCTAATGTTCCCTTCACCTTTGCCATCTGTACCCAAGAAAAACATCCTTGTTTACAACCCCATGGGTCAAATTAAAGATTGGAAGATAAATTATTACCAGGACATATTTTATAGAGATAGAAAAAAAATCTCACTGAAAATGTGGTTCATTCCTACATAGCAATAGGCTCATTGTACAACTGGTGGGTTAACAGCTGTACTGACTTATGACTGATTCTGTACCCTCTCAAATTGCACAATTGATGATAGAGAAGTTAGTGAAGGTTTCAAATGGGAAGTTATCATCTGGATGTTTGAGCAAGGCTGCCCTCCCAGGATGGTGGGAAGATGGGAATCTTGAGTTAGTTCCCACACTATTAAGAAAAATTGCAGAATCCATTCCTCAAGAGCAAGACTCGGGTTGACTTTTCCTCCAAGACACTTAGTAGCTTTGTGTGCTACTGGGAATTAAAGAAATTCTCTGCTCCTAATGATAATGATAAAGATGGGATTATTCCAACAAAGCTCATAAACTAGGAAAGTTTAGAGGGACCCCCTCCTCCATGACAATGTGCTTTAGTTCTGATGTTATAACCTAACAACAGGTTCAGAATATAAGAGGTTCCAAGTTAGGCTTAGAGTTTTAGTTAGTACTTGAGTTATTTTAAAAATGAAGACATTCTTGGGTGTGGAGAGAGCAGAGCGCCTGAAGAATGGCTCCTCTGAGTACAACACATCCAACAGCAACTTGGGCTTACTCCTCACGGGTGGCAGAATACTATGGCCTTCCTATGACATTATGCCCTATACATGAGAAAAGAAAAGAAAAAGAAAAAGAAAAAGAAAAAAGGAAAAAATAAAGAGAAAAAAATAAAAATGAAGACATTCTAACTCAACTTTGAGGACTTGGAGTGAGGCAGAGCATTTTTCTTTCTTCCTTTCTTCCTTTCTTTCTTTCTTTCTTTCTTTCTTTCTTTCTTTCTTTCTTTCTTTCTTTCTTTCTTCTTTCTTTTTCCTTATCTGCTACTTTATTATACAAACCTTTTCATGTAGTTCCCTTTCTGGTTCTCTAGCGCCACACATTGATTTAAAAGGAGAGGAGAGCCCTAGCCCATTTGGCTCAGTGAATAGAGTGTCGGCCTATGGACTGAAGGGTCCTGGGTGTGATTCTGGTCAAGGGAACATATCTCTGTTACAAGCTCTATCACCAGCCCTGGGGTTGGGGCATGTGCAGGAGGCAACCAATCAATGTGTCTCTCTCACATTGGTGTTTCTCTGTCTCTCCCCATTCCATCCCCATCCCTTGCACTCTCTCCAAAAATCAATGGGAAAATAACCTCGAGTGAGGAAGGAAGGAAGGAAGGAAGGAAGGAAGGAAGGAAGGAAGGAAGGAAGGAAGGAAGAAAGAGGGAGGGAGGGAGGAAGAAATGTTATGGAACTCACCAAGAGAAAAAAAATTATATATATATCAAATAAAAAAAGAAATTTAAAAAAATTTTAAAAAGGAGAGTAGAGCCATAAGTATGTCTTTTTCTCATGTTGCTTGGCTCATGTTAGAAATGAGGCCAATCCACAAACACAGCCTCTAACAAGTTATGCACTTCCACCATGGAAAAAATCATGCTACTAAACTATTAAAGGGTCTATTCTAACCCCAAGCTTTTTTCCTTAGAGTGAAAACAAAACACTTAATACTTTCTACTGGTTTTTGCTTTATTATTCAAAGAAAAGGTATATGTAAAACTGAAGTTATTTGATTTTTTTGTGTCATCCTAAACACAAAAGTAGGGCCATTTTTACTTTTCATAGGAAAATTAAGAAGATAGATTAGATGACAAAAGATTCCTTCATAAAGAATCAGTAGTATTGTCAGTAGACTACACAGAGCTCTTACTGCCCTTGGGGGCTCATAATTGGGACCTTGAAGACCTAGGGAACATTCAGATCATCTGTTACAGACAAGGCATCTGCTGCAGGATTCTTTCTCCAAAGTTAAACCACTGTGTCAATGCTTGCTCCTTTGCCCCCTCAACTATAGATTCCTTCAGGATATTATCTGCAGACCATGAATTCCAACCTGAATTTGGATGGATTTCTTCTGCCAATTGCAGTCATGAATGTCACCAGCATCCTGCCACTATTAATTCTGGCTCCTTGTATGGAATATTTCAGCACCTGCCTATTTCACTCTAAGAGAGATGGATCATTTCTGTTGGCATGCATTTGTAAGTACAATTTACAAATAAATTATTTGCAACTTTTTAAAATAAAAATACACTCTGCTGAGCTCTAAGCTGGAGATATGCTCTATAAGGAAAGTCTGATTTTGACAAATTGGGTAGAAGGTGAATTTGAGAGTGATAGCAGGTAATCTCTATGCAGATATTGGTGTCTGCCCCATTTTCCTCCCATTCTTTTATGCCTTTTCAGTAGACACACCTGATAGAAAGACATGGTGAAACTTCCAGTACCACCAAATGGCCTATCCTTCTTCAAGTAAAGTAGTCCTCACTCCTAAGTCAATGTTGAGTATGTTCTTAAAAATTAACATAAGTAATGAACCTAAAGAGTTAATTTCTGAACCAGTAGCAAAATTTATGAAAAATTAGTACTTTAATTCACAGCTTCAGTATAGTAGTTTTTCAAATAGTAAGGTATATAGCAATAATTTTCCAACATTTTTTCCAGCTTTATTGAGATATAACTGGCATATAACATTGTGTAAGTTTATGGCGTATGATGTGATGATTTGGTACACATATTTTGAAATGTTTACCCACAGTAGGGTTAGTTAACACATCCTTTGCCTCATATCATTACCATTTTGTTGTTGTTATGATGCTTAAGAACATAAAAGCTCTACTCATGTTCTTTTAGTAAAAAAAAAAAAAAAAAAATAGGACACCCTAGCTGGTTTGGCTCAGTAGATAGAGTGTCCAGCCTGTGAACCGAAGGGTCCCAGATTCGATTCTGGTCAAGAGCACTTACCTGGGTTGCAGGCTCCTCCCCAGCCTGGGCCCTGGTCGGGGCTCATGCAGAAGGCAACCAATCAATGTGTTTCTCTCACATTGATATTTCTTTCTGTTTTTCCCTCTCTTTTCCACTCTCTCTAAAAATCAATTGAAAAATATCTTCAGATGAGGATTTAAAAAAATGTAGGATGTTATACTTAGAACACAATTAATGGACTATAAGATATATATTTTTCTGATTGAAATGGGAGAGAAGGAACTAAAGCCCATTCTGATCACACTCTCCTCTCCCTGTGTTCCCTGGGCACTGATATGGGCAAGAAGACAGGTCCTGGTACAGTAAAACCAGGATCAGTCTAAGAATCAGAGATCTGGATCTCAGCCCTTGCTCTGCTCCTGGGTGACTTTGAAAAGCCACCTAACCTTTTTTGTCTTCTGATTCACTTATTATTGGCAATGAGGGCCACACCCTAGATAAACCCTCTATTCTGTAAGACTTTTGAAATCACTCAGGATGACATCAGTGCCTGGAGCACAGTCCTGACACATTGTGAAAACTCTACAAATGTTCTCTAGTATTGAGTCATCAGTTGCAATTGTTTGGTAGGCATAAACAGAAAGCAAAGGGAATTGGAAACTCTTAAGAAATATTATATAATGGTAATCTGATGTCTTATTGTCTACTTGAGAAATAATTCCCTTGAAATAGTCAGGGCCAGGCGTTTCAAGGGTTCTTTTCTCTTTGTTAACCCGTTCTTATTCTTAACTCCTCCTTTTTAGAGATCTGTGGAGACCATGCAATCTTCTAGTAATCCATTTTTTTTTAATTTTTTTTATTAAATCTTTATTGTTCAGATTATTACATTAGTTACTCTTTTTTCCCACCATAACTCCCCTCCACCCAGTTCCAACCCCACCCTCTGCCCTCACTCCCCACCCACTGTCCTCATCCATAGGTGCACGATTGTTGTCTAATCTCTTC